CACCCTAGAAGCTAATCGCTGTGAAGAACATTTTTTAACAATTTGAACTCAAATAACTGAATTTTCTACAAATAACTACATACTGTTGGAGATATCCATGAATTATAGATTATTAATAAATAATAAACTTCATAATATATGATAATATATTATGTGCAAATATTTTTTAGTTGTTGAAAATATTTATTGAAATTAAAAAGCTTTTTATTTTATTAGGATCTAAGAGAAAAAGAACACGGCCAAATAAACTAAGTAATTATATTACTGAAGTAAATACTGGTGAAAGTGAAAAGCCTAACCCAAACAGTGGCGTATATAGGAATTAATTTCGGGGGGGGGGGGTGTTATGAAAAAATATATACTAAATGAAGGTTATAAATTAACTTATTTTTAATAACTATGAAAATTAAAATACATAAATTTAATTACAGGACAAAGTCTAATTTTCGAGGTAGATTTGCAAAATTATTTATCACTTCTTCAGTGTTTATTAAAATACTTCGATAAATTGACATGAGATAATCCTGTTAGTCGATTTTCGCTTGTACTATTTCTCAAGCACGACTTCAATCTTTTCAATATCGAAAACGATCTTTCTGATGACGCTGTTGAGACTGGTAAAGTTACTAATATTGACATTAAGCACCATATATTTGGAAAAAAATCAACGGATAGTTTATTCAAAGTATCAATAGCAGATTTGGATTTCTGACAAACCACGGAACATTTGCAATTATTCTGAGGACTTTGTTTTGGACAATTTGCATTTTTTTGATGTGCGAGGATGCACGATTACCCCATACCGGGCAAGCGTATGTAAGAATTGGGCGTATAATTTGCTTAAAAATTAGGAGAGAACATTTTTTCCCATACTAGACAGTTTCTTTTTAATTAATACATAGATTAAAGAAATGCACACGTGGGTCGTACTAACCATAAATTTCGGGGGGGGGGGGGTTGAACCCCCAAAACTGAACCCAAATGATATCATGACATGCTATCATGTCAATTATTTATTTATCAATTTATTATTTTGGACACTTTAATAATGAATCTTAAAATGAGATTTTCTAAAGAAAGTATGAAGTTGGCTAATATTGTGGATGGTTTTTAATGTTTGATTATTCAAAAGGCCTTACATTTCTAAACCATTATAAATTAAATTAATTAATTGTTTTTAAATTAAACATTAATGAAAAAAGAATGGTAATGCTAATTTATTTTTGTATAGAGTTTATTGAATATCGATATGGAAAGTTTAAAGGCAGTAATGATGGTTGCACAAAATCTTAAAAAAATATCTACCGACAGTAAAATGATGACACCTGCAGAAATGGCTGAAATTGCATCACCTAACACTTTTCCAAACTTGTATAAATTGTTGAACATAGCTTATACAATTCTTATTAATAGTGTTACTTATGAAAGAGCATTCTCTGCTATGTGGCGGGTAAAAATTGGCTACGTTCAACAATGTTACAAGACCATTTTTCAAATTTAGCTTTATTAAGCATTGAAAGAGACTTAACTAATAACATAGACAGTAATAGTGTCTTAGAACATTTTATAGCTAATAATAAAAATAGATGAATAGATCTTAATAAGTAAATTACAAATTATAATCTATGAGATTATTGATTATGTCATTTTACGTAAAACATACTACATTTTTTACCAATTTACAGTTTAATTTTACATTACAGTAAATTAATAGCTATTGGAATATAAAAACAAAATAGTTAACAAAAATTTTCAAACACCTATCAATATAATTATTTAATTATCATTATATTTGTATAGTTGTATATTTTAAGTTCAAAGCGTAATAATGAAAATAAGAATATATTACACGTCTTCAATAATAAAACTATTTTCTTTTTTTTTTTTGCCCTGGGGGCGGTTTGAACCCGGATTAATGCTAGAATATTATATATTTATTTTGTGATTTACATAATAATAGCATTATTTTACATGACCTTTTAAAATTATACCTACATTATCTTCAAGACTTATTTTGATTGGTAAACATAATCATGACATCAAAACCAGTGGCACTTACAATTTCAAGAATAAATCCAATTTCAGAAGTGTGTTAAAAATATATAGTTTTATCATTATTTACCCATTAATTTATTTGCTCATTGATATAATTTAATTTTAATATTTCAATAACTGAACAATTAAGAGGACGCATAAAAATATGAATTTAACGTCATTAATATTAAACCCGGTCGGAATTAATTTATTTGAAATAACTTTTTATAAAATGTATCAATAAAAAATACGTTTTCATGAATTCGGCCATTATAGTTCCAAAAGATGGCACGAATCGTGTATAAGAACTGGTTTCAAGCCTCGGCCTATCACAAGCTTGTACATTTTTTTCGAGTGGGAGAATAAATACCAGCATTAATAAATATCATCGGACCAACAGGACCCAACAAACCTGAAGACAATTCGTGTGTCACGTTATGAGTAGGACGTTAGTTGTGGAACGTTCTGCTGCCTACTGTCTAAATAATTTTACAGTCAAATTTGTTCCGACGATTAAAATCTTCCCAACACATTACGAGTAAGTTAACTAATATCTGTATTATTATTAATTATAATAATCGTAAGTAAACTCAATAAAGTAAAATATTTATATATACTACGGTTATTATACATATGATACTACCTATTTATATATATTTAAATGTGTTTTTATTTATAATTTATAATATAAATGAACATACAATATAGGTTCAAACAATTTCAAATATAAATTTAAGTTTCTATTTCTGTGTTATCTATGTATAAATAAATATTTTAATTCCATATTTTCACTAGTAAGATATTAAATGTTCAAGTTTTAAACCTATATGGGCTCAAAACAAATAAAAATGTTAAATAACTTTATAAATTATTTATAACAAAGCTATTTTGCTTTATGTTCACCAATACAATTTTTAATTTTCTCCAGCAATAACTCAAGACATTAATAACTTCTCCTTTAATACAGTGAAATTGAGAAATTGTTATACATTACCAAATTTAATTTTACCTTTTACATTGAAGGAAAAGAAAGCTAATTACCAATTATAAAAACATAAAATACAATTTAATTACAATTGCATGTAAAAAAGTATATGGTGGGTGACAATGATTATATCCAATGATATCCCATAATTCATTTTAGAAGATTTTAACTAGCTATTTACTAACTATAAATACTAGTATTTATGTATTAATATGTTCTTTAATTATATTTATTAAAGTACTACTAATTCTTTCAACATTTTAGTATTAATTATATTTGGTATGTAATTGTTATTTTAAGATTGGTAATACTTATGTTCTTATTTATTAATAATTAAGGATAAACATATTATAAGTGTATAATATCACATAATTATTTTCTTATATTTTATTCTGTATTACTAAAGTAAAAATCTGTTAACATTTTACATATTCATTTAGAGAAACCAAAAGATAGTCATGTCAGACAGAATCTATTTTACTTGCTGAAATTTAGAATATATATTTTTAGAAAAATGTAAATTCCGTACTTAAATATTTTTGATTTTCATGTATCAATATTAAAAACATTTTGGAAACTTGTATCATTTAGGGTAGATCTTGGTGAATGCTAAAATTCTAAAATGTTTTAAAATGATGGATACTACTATAAAGTGTAAGATGAGAATATAAACATAATATTTTTTTGGTTTTATTTTATTGAATACTATTTTACTACAATTTAAAAGTTATTTTTAGGTCAATATAAATTACAACTAACTTTAAGATTAACTACCTACATTAGGATTTTAAATCTTTATATATATAATATAAAAAATATGATTAATAATCTTCTTTATTATTGTTTAGTTGCTTAGACTACTATATAAAATATGACAACAATAACTCTTGCTAAAAATTAAATTTAAAAGAAATTATTATAGTATTCATTTTGTACAATACAAATTTTTATTTTTATTTACAGAACTTGGATTTTTTTTTTTTTTTTGTTAAACCAAGGATACTTTGGAAGCCAAGTTGCTATCAATTTAAATTGATATATCTAATTTTATTTCTAAAAATTCAAATTTTAATTCATTTCATTTTATATATATTTTTTTTTGATTCAACCTTTAGAAAGTGTCCTTCATGATCTGGGTAACCACTTAAATTTATTTTTTTTTTAATTTTATACATTAAATATTTAATGGTAAAAAAATAAAATTTATTTAATTTACATATAATATCTTAATACTTTTGAATCATTTGATTAAAATTAACTAATAATAATCAACTCTTAATAAATAGCGTTATTCATTAAAAAATATAACTCAATTTAAATTTATCTATCTAATTTTGATTCAAAATATTCAAATTTTAATTCATTTCATTTTATATTTTTTTTCAGAACTTGGATTTTCAATTCAGAAGGAGCCTCTGTCCCGTCTTAAGGTTTAACAATTTTGTGTTAAGTTAGTTTGTTGTACAGAGATAAATTTATTAATGATTTACAATAAAAACCAAGGTTTGCAAAAATATTTTGTCAAATATAAAATCACGTTAAATAGAAGTTTGTTATAGAACAGTTTCAATTTTAAGTTTAGAGGAGTTTACATACGTAAAATTGAGTAGCCACATGTTTCCAGAGGAGTTTACATAAGTGTAATTTAGTAGCAAAATATTTTTAAGGGGATTTACAATATTTTAGGGGAGCTTACATGCACCTGGTAATAACTATACTTTATCACAAATTTATCTCTGTGATTGATAGATTTTTATCATCAACTAAATAAATATGATAACTTTAAATGATAAGAAATGAAAATATTGTTTTTATATTCTTACCTGAAGAATTTTGTTAGTTTTTATTCTGTTTATTATTATAAATTAAATTAAATATCATTTAAAATACTTTACCTTTCAATAATTAAATTTTTAAAAGTCTTGAATTTTGTGATTGGACCAAACCATTTATTTTTGGTATTTATACAATATTTATTAATATGCGATTGCTGATTTTATCAATTATTTTTAGTTTTGGTAATATGTTATCTTTTAAATTTCTTCTAAAGGTAAATTTTTAGCTAACAATTGTTATTCTTAAAATGTATCAAATATAATTTTATGTTTTATACTAATATTTCATTACCAAACCTACTTGTAGTTAGTTTCATGGTTCCTGGATAACAATATAGAAGACCGTAAAATAAGAGATAAAATAGTGCATTTAAAAAATGAACAATCAAAAATTTCTATTGTAAAAGAGTTTGCTAAACATGCAAAGTTGCAGCGACAAATAAATAAATCAAATGACCAATTGAAAAATAAAAGTATGTTTCTATTATTATTATATCTAATATATTTATTTATGAAATTATTATAGTACTGTGATTTAATATAAAAATTAATTTTCAGTCCGAGAAAATGCGTCTAAAAATTTTAAACTGAAATTTATTTGCAAATTATCATTATATATTTTCTCTGTAAGTATATTCTATGTATTGTATAGAAATATATTTTTTCTAATTAAATTATTATTTAATTGCATATTCATTGCTTCTAAAATACCTTTCCATCTCTCCCTATCCAAGCCGCTCCCATATCTAACAATGGATTGAATTTTTTTAGGTCTTTTTCTATTCTATCATTCCATCTCTGCCGAGGTCTGCCTCTTGATCTTTTCCCTGTTATTTTGCTTTCTGTGACTTAATTAGTGTGCCTTCAGCTCGCCAGGCATGACCAGCCCTTTTTTCCAGTCTCTTTCTGACTAAGAAGTATCATAGATTTGGCTTATTGTATAGTTACCGCAGATTTTCATTGTTTCTTCTTTCAAATCTTTCAAAGTCATTATTGTTTACTGGTCTATATATTTTCCTTAATATTTTACTCTCAAATATCTGCAGTTTTTCTTCATACCCATGGGTGCTAGATCATGTGACATTAATTGCATATTAGTTGTTTCTAATTTTATAATTTTAAACTTGTTGATTTTTGTTAAGCTTATTTTCTTAAAATTAATTTGTCGTATACTGAATTACTTTTAGGCCATATAACTTGGTATTATATTATTTCATAAAAAATATTGTTTTTATATAAGTTAAAATATTTAATTCAAATAATTCCATACATTTTTATAATTACCAAAAGAAATTAATACTGGATTTGAACATAGAAAACAGTAGGCTCAATATAATTTACCTATATATAAATCTATATTAGATTTTTTTATTAAATTAATGTTATACAAAATCAAATTATTTATTTTTATAATTCTCAATTTTCGTTCTCATTCCGTCATCTCACTCATAATTTATTTCATCCTAAACGCAGGTTTCCACATTTAAATAATTTTATTTATATTTATTGTAAAATATCTATAAGATATAAGTTTACAAATATAGTTGTATCTAATTTCTGTTCCTTGAAATAGTTTTAAAAATGTAATATTTATTTTAAAATACATTTAATAATCATTGTATTAAATATAAGATTTAATTTTCAAATATATGCTTAAACATTATTATTAATATTTAATTTCCCATTTCAGGCAATTGTAAATTTCATATTTGTTTATTATAATTATCATCAAACTGTCCTGAACAATCTACCTTCTAATTGGTTTTCACCATTATCGTGGTTAGTTAGTTGGCCATCGTCTCAAGTTGATACAATGGGTTTTATTTTTTGGTATAGTATCACCAACTATGTTGCTAAAGTTACCACTAATAATTTATTATAAGAAATAAACATTTGTATATATATTGAATTATTGATGTTAAAAAATCTGTAGATAAGATAAGAATTAATTTAAACCTTTCAAAATAACAAATACTATTTGTGTTAAAATTAAATTATATTTTGTAGTTATATTTTATATCCTCTCATTTTTTATTAAATAATTAAAAATTCTTTAAGTATTTCTGTCTAGATTTTAAACCTGTGTATTAATATCTGGTGTTTTGTTGACGACGAATGGTTGATAGTACTTATATAATAATTTGTAATTTCTATAATATATTATTTACTTATTTTTAAAATATGTTTGTAATGTTTGTAATTATTCATTTTAAAATTATATAAATGAGTAGGTAAATATAAAACAAATAAACAATAAACAATTAAATAAATGCACAGTACACAGAAGTCTGTATTATCACAGAATATTATGTAGTATTATTCATGAACAAGTACTGAGAAAAAAATGTATATTATACATATATAATATATATGGATTCTTCACGCTAGTTACTTTAACAGGCACCAAAACCTGCCATTAAATAAAGTGCCCCATAGGCGTAATTTGAGGGGGACTTGGAGGGGCTTAGCCCTTCCAATATTAAAATTAGCCCCTCCAAAAATTTATAATTAAATTAAAATATCAAATTCTTTATTAGTTATCTAATCTACATAATACAGCAAACGAGATCAATCAATTTTTATGATTTAATTTTTAGGATCTATTAAATGTGGATGTAAATACACTTCAATCAGAAATGCTTGTGGTAAAAACTGTGTGACCCGTAGAAACTCCAGTTTCATTTTGGAAGATATCAAATCAATCATGGATGCAGAGCTTTATCCTAATTTATATAAACTGTTATCATTATCTTTAACAATTCCAATTAGCTCTGCAACATGTGAAAGATTATTTTCAGCAATGAAAAAGATTAAAAATTGGCTTCGAACATCTATAAACAAGATTTACAGATTTGTCATTAATTTATATAGAACGAGATTTATCGAATGAATTGTCTAACGAAAAAAAATTAAATAAATTTGCAATTTCTAACCGAAGGTTCCAATTAAAATAATATACTTAATAAAAAAATATAATATATTACATTTATTTACCTAAATTTTGTTATTTTTTTCATACAAATATTTTTAGTTTTATTAATAAACGCATTATAATATATTAAATGTAGGAAAGTGGGTGAGAAAAATATGATATCGCTATATCGATAATTGGGGTGAAGGTGGAGGGCAGAGCCCCCCACGGGTTTGTTTCATTTAAATATGTTAAGCCCCTCCAAGTTAAAAACTGAAATTGCACCTAAGAAGTGCCCGCTAAATACGATTTAGCGATGAAATTTTACGTAATAATTGTATTAATGAAATATTAAAAAATAGCAGGTAAAATGTGTCCGCTATGTTAGCGGATTGTTTAGCGAGACATTGTAATAACGGCTCTAAAACTACTTTTATATCATTCCACATACTATATATTGACTAAATCTAAATATGGTTGTACAGTGGTAAAATACGGTAGAGCAGAGATTCCCAAACTTCTTATAGTACAACCCATTTTGGAAATTATTTCAATTTTTACGACCCAAAATAATATCATTGATCATTTTAAATTGAAGAAAAATATTATATTTATAAAAAAAAGCTTATACTATGTAATTTAATTACTAAGTATATAATTTTATCGTGAAGGATTTAATTGTTTCCTATTTTTCATAACTGGATTAATATCTACTTTTTTATTTTGATTGCAAAGAACTTGTTGTAAGCTCATCATCAATTAATTTTCTTTTTTTAACCGCTGACTCAGATATTATCTCTGTTTCTTCAATTTTCGCAGAACTTGTCAATGACTTTTTATTTCACCATTTGTCCATAATAACTGTACAAACGCACAAAAAAAAAAAAAAAAAACGAATTTATTAGTTATTTATAGTTATAGAAAGATTTAAATTGCGTGCATGTATCGTATTCAATGTACCGTTTGTTACTGAAAATAATCAAATTATTTGAACGTCATTCAGGTACTAACTTGTTTTAAATATATTGCTATATTTTCAATAATCATTAATCCGATTGCTTTGTGTTGACACAGTCGAGCATAGACATATAAAGAAATATTATTATGTCTATTGGTCACAGTAAATTTGCAATTGTCACAAACGCAAATAACAGTTAATAATAAAACTAACTAAATAATTAAACATCAACCATAAGTAATAGAAACACATGAAAAACATAACGCGACCCACTAAAAATATAATTGCAATCCATTTTTGGGTCGTGACCCACGGTTTGGGAACCTCTGCGGTAGAGCACATACTGCAGTCACAATGCTGTCATTAAAGTGCATACCAATAAGATAACCTTTTAAAATTAAAAATTGAATTTATATTAAACTTATTATGAAAAAATACTAAAAAAAAAACGTTCTTTATATTCATCATTTGGTTGTATATATAAAAATATTACTAATGAAATATGTTAAGAAAAGCTTACAATTTAAAATATAATTGTTAATTATTAACTTAATTAATTGTTTTATTAAATTATTAATTATAGCTTTTGGGTTAACTTTTATCTCACAATGAATATTAGCAACAGGGTTGGATAGGCTCATAGGGAAAAAGGGATTTTCCCTGTAGGCCCTCGCCCTACATTATGTCCGTGGCTCCTTCCATATTATTAATGTTTTCATGGATATTTATTATTATTATTTTTTTTTTTTATAGTTAAATTATTTAAATTAAATTAGGATGAGGAAATATAATAGATTTTTATAAGCAATTTTTTTTTTCATTTTGGTGGCTCCATTAAAATATTTCCCTGTAACAAAAAAACTTCCTATCTACCTTAGATTAGCAACGCCATATAGTGGGATTTTTCCATAGTATTTAATTAGTTTTTAGATAGTAGTTTTGAATTTTTTTTTTCTGGTATTGAAATTGTCACAGGAAAATTCACAAGAATTTGAATACATTTTTTATCATCTACCTACCAGAAACATTGTTTTTTCACATATTAATAAAGCTGATTGAACGTTTTTGGGAATATTGTCCATTTTAATCAATTGTTGCCACCAAAATTAAAATTTCTCCAATACTGAATTAATTATATCTTCCTATTAACTATATAGGTATAGAATGGCTAAAACATGTATTTATCGGTATTTATAAGATAAGAATTTATATTGAAACCAATTCTACATGTAAAATTATAACGAATAGGTATCAATATTAAACTATTTTATATTTCATTTATTAAATATTTTTATTACCTACCTAATAGTAATATATAATAATTTTTATTGTAATAAAATGTAATTTAATCATAATAAATTTGGAATTGTTATTACTGTTGTCGATTATCAATATACAAAATAGGTATATTTTGATATAAATGATAATTATTTTTTTGTAATATTCTACTTCTATAATAAGAATCATGACACATAATATTTTTCATTTGATTGAGGGGGGAGGCGGTTAAAACCCCAAAACTTTTCTTATCGGTATGCCCCTGCTGCGTGATAAAAAACCTGTATAAAGGATTC